ACACCCCGTTTTTCAGACACCGCGGCGCCCATCTCCCCCCCACCCAAAAAAAAGCTTCTCGAAAAACGACCGTTTCCAAAACCAACGCCACGTACAAAAGAATATTTGCCGATGGCTCGCACTGTGAAGTTATGGAAGCGGCCGGATTAAGTACATAAGAACCGAAATCCAGGCAGGGGAGGGGAGCCCCGCAGGACTGGGACCCGCCGCAGGAACGTGGGGCTCCGTCCCCGCCGCGGGGTGGGGCGGGGGGGCCGCGGTTCTCGGGCTGGACAACGTGTCCAGTCGGCTAAGAGCATCCCTCCCGCGAGGGCTCCGACCCGTGGCTCTCAGCCACACAACTTCTGGTTTTTTTATAAGTGACGATCGCCCCGAGGAAGCGACTTTGGGGGCCGCCGCGCACCTGAGCACCGCGGCTGTGCGGGGGTCGCGGGGGGCCCGGGGCCCCCCAAAGGCCGTTAGTCCGCGCGCGGGGCTTCACTTCCGCCAACGCCATCTCGGGGCTCTCCCGGGCTCCCCCCACCCCGGCCCGGGCCCGAGTGGGGCTGGGGTCGCGGCGGGCCCGAGCGCTCGGGGGTCGGGAGAACGCGGCCCCGGGGCCCCCCGACGGCGCCGGCCCCGCGTCCGCACGCGCGTCCCCCGCGTCGCCCGCGCGCCCCGCCGCCCGCCACCCCAGCAGCCGCGAAGGGACAAAGGCCCCCGGGCCCCGCGGACGGCCCGAGGCGGCGGGTGGCGGAACCCCGGGGGCCTGGCCCCAGGCGGCGGTTACCTGCGTGGCAGGGGCGGTGACCCCGGGAGTGGCCGCGGCCCGCCCGGCTCCGCCTAGCCGCCAGCCCCAACGCTCACCTGTCGGGCCAGCCCGGATTGCGGGGGGGTGGGGGGGTCCCCAATCGCCACCGCCCCCGCTCCCTCCCAGCCGGCCGCCCCCCGCGCCCGGCCCGGCCCGGCCCGCTCGGCCCCACCAGGGTCCCGCTGACTCACGCCGGCAGAGCTGGGGGTCCGCGGGACTGTCGGGGTCCGCTCGCGAAAGCAGCGCTCCCCAAGTGCTCCCCGCCCCCTGGCGCAACGCCGCCACCGCCCCGGGCTCGCTCCGGGCCCGGCTCCGCCCCCCGGGCTCACTTCGGGGACGCGCGGGGCCAACGCCAAGTTCCCGGCCAGGACGAGGCCCCGGCGGGGTCCTCGCGGCCGCCGCTCCTCCCCTCCCAGCTGCTGCTCGCCGGGAACCGCTGGGGCGCCAGGAGGGGCAGGAAACGAAACTGGGGGCTCCGTCTTCCAAACTGGGGGCTCCGTCTTCCCGGGCCTCCCTGGCTCCCCGCGCGCGCGCGGGGGGTGGCGTGGAGGGGGGGACGCGGGCCCTCCCCCCCCCACCCCCTTGTAGCAGAGGCCTCCGAAGGCGACCAAGAAACCAAGGTTTCTCAGAGTGACTTTTGGTTTGTTTGTTTTGGGGGGCCACACCCCGGCTCCTGCTCAGGGCTTTCTCCTGGTTCTGGGGCGCTCGGGTATCACTCCTGGTGGGGCTCAGGAATCAAGCGCAAGGCGAGCCCCTGAGCCCACTGTAGTAGCCTCTCTGGCCCCTTCAGTGTGGCGTTTAAAAGTCTGAAGGGTGATCCGCGTTAAGAAGGGACAGGGACAGTTGGGCAGATGCAGAGAAGAACACACACAAACCCCAAGGGGGCAAAGGCTGCTGGAAACAGGGCTGGGGAGTATGCTTGAAAACCAGGCAGACCTTCCAGAGCATTCTGAATACTTTTCACAGACACTTCCCTTCCGCCAGGAATGCTAAATGAAAGCCAAGCCGGGGAAAGAAAACTACGGGACTCGGGACTCGAGTTCTCATACAGGCTTTAGGTAAAGCGCCTGTCTTGCATGTCTGACCCCCCCCCCCCCATGACATCCCCAACTCCCCACTGGCCACTGCCACAAGTGACCCCAGAGCACAGGGCCTGGAGTAAGGTAGCTCTGAGCACTGTGGGAGTGTGAAGAGAAAGAAGGAAGCTGGAAGTGAAGGAAGGAAGGAAGGAAGGAAGGAAGGAAGGAAGGAAGGCAGGCAAGCAAAAAAAAAGCAAGCAAGAAAGACTTATAACATAGTATCACAGTGTATGTAACATTGTATATTCCACAGTGCACACAGGACCGCCCCCAAAGGCTGAAAGGCTGACTGGCAAAATTCACAAAAGGGAGATTTTGTCCCAGCAAGGATTAGAGTAGTGTTATAGAAGAAACAGGCCAGGGTTTTGGAATAATGATGTCAACTTTTAGGAAAATGAGCCCAGAGGCTTTTTGTTTTAAGAGGAAACACATTTTGAAGAGCCTGGAAGCATAAAAGAATCTGATTTGTTCATGAAACCACAGAGGGCCCGTGGAAAGGATGTTTGCGGATCAGCGTCAGCTCAACAGGCTGCACCGCAGGCCTTGAACCCAGGCAGCTGAGGGTTGATCTCCCGAAGAAAAGAAAAATGTTTAAGGGTTGATAGGGATGTCATACATAATAACTGCCAAGTTGTCATCACATTTCAGTATTCCCTTTCCCTTTGACAACCTGGAAAGATATTATGATCTTCTGGCTGTGTGTGTGTGAGTGTGTGTGTGTGTGTGTGTGTGCACCCATTCCTGGCTCTGTGATCAGGAGTCACTCCTGGCACTGCTGGGGATCACACCAGGGCTGGCCGTGTGCAAAGCAAGCACATCTGCCCCTGTACCATCTCTCTGGATCCCATGATCCCCCCCTTTTTTATTTTATATTGCTTTTCTTTTTTTTGCTTTTTGGGTCACACCCAGTGATGTTCAGGGGTTACTCCTGGCTCTGCACTCAGGAATTACTCCTGGTGGTGCTCAGGGGACTATATGGGATGCTGGGAATCGAACCTGGGTTGGTCACATACAAGGTAAACGCCCTACCCGCTGTACTATTGCTTCAGCCTCCTGTGACTTTATAACAAAATAAATAAATAAAACAGGGAGAGAGGAAGCAGCTAACAAGTTGCGAAGGAGACCCAGGCCTCAGTTCAATGCCCAGGACAGTCGGTCTGACCCTAGCAATGCAGTGGAAGTAGCCCCTGAGTACAGAGAGAGTAGAGGAGAGGGGAGGGGAGAGGAGGGGAGGGGAGGGGAGTGGAGGGGAGAGGAGGGGAGGGGAGGGGAAGGGAGGGGAGGGGAGGGGAGGGGAGGGGAGGGGAGGGGAGGGGAGGGGAAGGGAGGGGATGTTCTCAGTGGATATTTCTGACTGTGCTCAGAAATGAGCCCTGGCAGTGCTCAGGGGATCATATGTGGTGCTGAGGATCAAAGCAGGGTTGGCCGCATGCAAGCAAGTGCCTTATCTCTGTCACCACCTCTTCAGTCCCCAGACTGTACACTTTAAAATAAGCTAAGGAGGGGCTGGAGCGATAGCACAGTGGGTACGGCGTTGGCCTTGCACGCGGCCGACCCAGGTTCGATTCCCAGCATCCCATAGAGTCCCCCAAGCACCGCCAGGAATAATGCATGAGCCAGGAGTAACCCCTGTACATCACCGAGTGTGACTCCCCCCCAAAAAAGCAAAAAAATTAAATAAGGTAAGTTAAGGTTAATTAAGTTACCTTAATTAAATAAGGTAAGTTGTTCAGTATGTGTGTTACATGTCAATAAAGCTGTTTTCGAAAAAGTAACAGGCTGAACTTGTTAGGCCAAACTCCTGAACCCAAGTACAATGTGAATATAGATGCACTGAACCTGGAGTGCAAGGGCATCAGAATTGTCATGTCTCGGGGCTGGAGCGATAGCACAGCAGGTCGGGCATTTGCCTTGCACGCGGCTGACCCGGGTTCGATTCCCAGCATCCCATATGGTCCCCCGAGCACTGGCAGGAGTAATTCCTGAGTGCAGAGCCAGGAGTAATCCCTGACCATTGCCGGGTGTGACCCAATAAACAAAACAACAACAAAAAGAATTGTCATGTCTCCCTAAAATCTTTGGGGGGGGCTGGTAAGGGCACACCAGGGAGTACTTAGGGGTTACTCCTGGCACTGCACTCAGGGATCACTCCTGGCAGGCTTGGGGGACCACATGGAATGCCGGGGATTGAACTCAGGTCACTTACGGGCAAGGCAATCGCCCTCCCCGCTGTACTATCATGCTCAACCTGTCTGTGACATTCCTACACAGATCACTGAAACAGCACTACAATCCTCAAAACAGTGGGAAGAAGAGCGCTAATCTCATAAGGGTGATCTTTGCCAATAGATTGCTGGAGATTGCGCTTGTGAATGTGTTCATTAACCCCCTTGATTGGAAATGTCCAGTTCTGGGGGGTTGTTTACATGTTATTATGGAAAAGCTAATTATGTAGAAAAGCGTATTATCTAGACATAAAAAGCCTAACCTCACGATTCAGCATTCCCAACTTACAGCCAAGTTTGTTTCTAATATATTCCTACCAGTTTCACCCCAACCTGTAATAGTCTGAAGCAAATGCAAGACAACCTATTAGTTCACGGGCCAATACCTAAGTATAACTCTTAGAAGTAAGAATTATTCTAAATTGACAAGCACACACACGGAGTACGATCACAATTGAAACATCTGCGGCTCCGCTGTCCATCAATAGTTGAACGGATCATTAAAACAAGACTACAACCCTTGTAGTACATAGAAATGCCATCTCTAATGATAGCCCTGAAGGCGAATTTCAAGGGCCGACGCCTGGGGCAACAGGCATGCACCTTGAGAGCGTTTGCTAAGTGAACTAAGCCCACCACAAAAGACCAAACTAGGGTTATGCTTCCACTTCTAAGGCGTTCCTGCAGCGGCGGAACTCCTAGCAACAGCAGGCAGCGACTACCAAGGGACCAGAAAGCTGGAGATCAGCCGCGCCGCCGCGGTGAATGAACCGCACACGACTGAAGCGTACACTTCGAAAACGGCCAGGACGGTCGGTTTCGTCTGGGGGGTCTAACACAACCGCGATCGTTTGGACGGGACAGTCCTTTCATCGCGTGGACACAGCTCGCAACGCTAATTCTTACAAAACGTCCGAGCTTTTCTCCCCGACGTGTTTGTTGAAAACCACGATCCAGGTTCAAAATCCAGAAGGCGGCCCGTGGCTCGCGTCGGTCGGATCCCGTTAAAAGTTAGAGGTTGCCGCCCGCCCGCCCGCAGCCTCAGTTCCTCGGACGGACGCGAGCGGGCCGCGGTGACCGTTTCTGACGGCCAGGACCCGGCGGCGCCCGTTACCGCCTCCCCCCCCCGGCCCGTGCGCCCGTTGGGCCCCGCAGGGCCTGGAGGGTCGGGGCTGGCCGCGGGGCGACGCCGATGCCGTTTCCACGCCCAGGGGCGGAGCGTCCGCGGGAAAACCCTTTGTGACTTTCCACGCGCGTCAGCGGCGGAAACGCGCGGGGGCGGGGCCCGGGCCGGAAGTGACGCAGCCCCGCGACGGCGCACTTGGACCCGATCGCTGGGGAGCTGGCGGGAGGGGGTCGCGCTTCCGACCTTCCTCCTGGGGCGCGCGGCGCGCTAAGCGTCCGGAGGCGCGACGCCGCCGCTGGGAGGGGGGGGTGACCTGCCGGTGGCCGCGGCGTCGCGGACAGGCAGGATGTTCCGGGGTCTGGGCAGCTGGCTGGGCTTGAACCCGCCGTCCGAGGGGGCCGGGCCTCCGGAGGGCGATGTCCCGCCCGAGCCGAGCTCCCTGGACGGGACGGAGACGACGGCCGACGGGCCCCCGCAGCCGGAGGTGGACCAGGACATCCTTCACCAGGCCAAAGGCCTTGGAAGTGAGTCGCCCCCGTCGGCCGAGCGAATCGGGGAGCGCCCCGATTTCTGCTCCCGACGCCCCCTGGCTCGCACCCGTCGGAGCGGGGAGGGGGAGGGCGGGGAAGGGGGACGGGAGGGGTGTTTCAGGCTCTTCTGGATGGGAGCGATCGGTGGGGGTCTGGGCCCCACCTCCGGCACCTGAAGTTCCCCAACTGCGTCACCATTGGCCCCGAGCGACCCGCCCTCCTTAGGCTTGACAAGGAACCTTTTTGTTTGGCTAACTCGCCAATGGTCACGCCCACGGCCTTCGACAAGAAGGGGGGCTTGGAGGGGCCAGATTGAGAAAGAGTCACAGCTGTGTCCGTCACCTTACCAGGAGCTGTGCGGCCGTTTCCCCTCATGGGGGGCCGGAGGGGGGGCGGGGGCGGGGTGTCGCGCTGTCACTGTCTCTGGCGGGAAACTTGCAGGATTGACCTGACTAGCCCAAGGCCAGAGGGAGCGGCTCCCGGTCATCCCTGGGTCATCCGTGTCGGGGTAGCCGTGAGAACCCAACTCTGCTCGCCAAGCCCGGCTCTTGCCGCGCTCTGAGTTGGGAACCAGAGTGACCAATCTACATACACACTGCTTCCCCTTAGACGCACACCCCCGCCCCGGCTTAAACAGTGTCCTAGAGCAGCAGCCCCGAAGCAGACTGTCCTGCAAGTGAAGGAACCGCCTAGCTGTAGACAGCAAAGATAAGGCGGCATTTTCAAAATCCTCTGAAAGGTATTTCAAGGGTGGGGGAGGGGGCTAGGTAGCCCGAGTGCTCCACCAGGGCAGAAACACCATTTCTTTTTTCTTTTTCCCCTTGGGTCACACCTGCCGATGCGCAGGGGGTTACTCCTGGCTCTGCACTCAGGAATTACCCCTGGCAGTGCTCAGGGGACCCTATGGGATGCTGGGAATCGAACCGGGTTGGCTGCATGCAAGGCAAGCACCCTACCCCACTGTGCTATTGCTCCAGCCCCAGAAACACCATTTCCACGTAGAGAGGTTCTGGTACTCAGAATGTTTCCACTGACGTGGCGGAACTGGAAAAAAAAAGATTTAACTCTGGTCAGTAGTACATTAAGCCCAACCTCAGCCCCCCAAACGGTCTAAGAGTAGTAAAAGCAGTGTGGTGTGAGAGAGTCCAGAGCTTTGGCGAGCTCCTGTTGCACACAGTGACTCGCTCTGATCCCCACCGCCTATGGGCACCCCCACAACACCAAGAGTGATTCTGAGCACTGAGCTAGGAGTAAGCCCCGAGAGAAGCTAGGGATGGCCCCCAGGCAACGACCACAATAACGAATGCAGGGGAATAAGGGGGGGGGGACAACTATTTCCTGTATAGAAAATTGGGAAGAAATCAAGCTGGCACCCTGAGGGCTCTGAGGAGGTGGGTTTGCTCACAGGGACTGTGTCGAGCTGGGAGAGTCACTCTAGGCAGTCAGGGTGTTGGGAGGGCTGGAACGGTTGCAGGGGTCAGAGAGACACTGTCCTGTATCCTCGTGGAGGGAGGGTAAGGAGTGGCTTCTTGAAATAATGAGCGCTTTATTGTCTGCTTGAAACTTCATATCTGCATTTGGTAATCATCTCTTTTTCGTGTGTTTTGGATGTGGCAATGTACTTTGGAGTTTCACTGTGCCTTGCTGGCTGTCGGAAGGCTGCTAGCTTCCCTTGGCGTCCTTGAGCCAGCATTTCTCAACCGGGAGCCCTGTGGGACCCGGGGCCACGGATGAAAATCACAAAAGTTGCGTGTGGTGGGGGGGCACAGTAAGAAATTTGAGGACAGTCGGGAGGACACAGGGACCACAGAAGGTAAACTGGGTCTGAAGGGGTTACTGCAGGAGAAAGGTTGAGAAACAGTGCCCGAGGCTACTTCATGAGGAGGCGGGTTCCCTAGTATAAGAGGTCCCAGAAACTCAATAACTACTCTGAAAGTTTGAGTTGGGGGCTCACAAGAGAAAACCCCGGTCCAGGTTTGCTGAGATGCAGCCACCAAATTTGGAGCGCCTCTGACAGGGTTGAAGGGGACCAGACCCTGGCCTGGCATTCAGCAGAGTCTGCCCCTAGCCGATTGGACGATTTTCCCTCTCTGACTTTCAGCTTCTTTGTCCTAAACTGGGAGTACTGAACCAATTCGTAGGCCCCGGGGCTCTCTCAAAGGGCTAAAGCACATACTTGGCATGCCGGAGGTTCAACCCCTCACTCCAACTTCCGCCCCCCACCCCAAAAAAAAACATTATTCAGGCTGGGGAGATATACAGTGGGCAGGGTTCTTGCCTTGCAGGTGGCCAACCGGCTTCTGTTCCCTCCTCCATATGGTCCCTCGAGCCCTGCCAGGACTGATTCCTGAGTGCAGAGCCAGGAGTAACCCCTGTGCTGGGTGTGGCCCCCAAAAGCCAAATCCACAAAGCGTTGTTCTTCCCAGGACAGTCGGGAGACTGAGACTATGAAAATGAAGGGGAATTAAGCATTTTCAGGTTAGCAGTCTGCCCTTCCCTTCCTCAAGATCACAGTTTCATCACACCCCGTCTTTGGGCCTGAGGCCCAGAGCCGTGGACATTGGACTTGTTACTTTCTGATAGCTGGAGCCATAGCACAGTGGGTAGGGCGTTTGCCTTGCACATAGCCAGCCCGGCTGAGCAGGGTTCGATTCCTCCGCCCCTCTCCGAGAGCCCGGCAAGCTACCGAGAGTATCTCACCCACACGGCAAAGCCTGGCAAGCTACCCGTGACATATTCAATATGCCAAACACTATAACAAGTCTCAAAATGGAGATGTTACTGGGCCCGCTCAAGCAAATTGATGAACAGCGGGAGGACAGTGACTTTCTGATAACTCTTATCTTCATTCTTTTTTAACCAGTTCATTAAAATCTGGGGTCAGTTGATCTTTTTTTTTTTTTTTTTTGACATTTTGGGTCACACCTGATGATGCTCAAGGGCTCCTCCTGGCTCTGCACTCAGGAATTACTCCTGGCGGTGCTCAGGGAACCATGTGGGATGCTGGGAATCGAACCCGGGTTGGCTGCGTGTAAGACAAACGCCCTACCAGCTGTGCTATCGCTCCAGCCCCCGGGTGCCACCTTGTAAGGAATGTTCTTGCTCCCCTCGTTTTGTTTGAGGTGTTTTTTTGCTTTGGAGGGCATCCCCCAAGGGCAAGTGTCCCATGAGCCTGTATTTCTGTGTCCTCCACCTTAGGAATCACTGAAACGAGAGAATTCAGATGATTACGTTAACGTGACATCTTTGCAATGGCAGCCCGCCCCTCAGAATACAATTTTTTTAAAAGCAAAAGAACTGGGACCAGAGAAGTAGTGTAGGGTGCTTACCATGAAGATGCGTCAGCCCAGTTCAATCCCGAGCGCCACATATGGTCCCCTGAGTGCCACCAGGTGTGGTCCAACCCCCATACCACACTTCCCCCCAAAATAGATGATTGTGATTCCAACATAGTCACGCTGGAACTGCCTGAGGAGCTTCTCATCCTCACTCAACTCCTAACTAACCCATGGTATTCGGGCTTTTTTTCGGGGCTGGAGCTATAGCACAGCGGGTAGGGCATTTGCCTTGCACGCGGCCGACCCAGGTTCGATTCCCAGCATCCCATATGGTCCCCCGAGCACTGCCAGGAGGAATTCCTGACTGCAGAGCCAGGAGTAACCCCTGTGCATCACCGGGTGTGACCCAAAAAGCAAAATAAATATGTATATTTTTTTCTCAGAGCTCTTTCAGGGGGGAAAAATCATAAATACAATAGAAAAAATCATAAGTAAATGTGCAAATGGAGCCAAGACTGTCTTCTCCACAGGCTATCTATTTAACTTCGCTTCGGCCGCAACAAAGAAGATCACGGACTCTGTTACCGAGACAGCACAGACCATCAAGAAGTCGGTAGAGGAAGGAAGGATAGATGGCATCATTGACAAGGTGCATTGGGGGTCTCTTGGAAACAGACTCATGTTATGAAGCTCATTCACAGCTAATCATTCCCTCTTAAGAATTTTGTGAACCCAAATAGAAGATCATTCTGATGAAAATAATAGTTATTGAGAGTCTTGATTTTTTTCTCTTTGTGTTCAAAAAAATGTTATAAACTGACTTCATTTAAATAACAAGTTTTTATTTTAATACGTTCTAAAATTCATCAATAATTTGAGGGCATGACTCAAGTTTCCCTCTCGTGAATTTATGGCCATTTCTGGGCTCTGGAGAGTACAGTGAGTAGGGCGCTTGCCTTGCATGGTCACCCTGTCATAGCTCAATTCCAGGTACGCCTTGTGGTCCCCTGAGCCCCTTCAGGAGTGAGCCCTGAGCACAGAGCCAGGAGTGAGCCCTGAACACTGCTGGGTGTGGCCCCAAAACAGAAAACTTAACTAGGACCTTTTCAGAAGATGATTATGCCCTTGCATCACGCAGTTAGGTTTTCACACTCCTAAGCCCTTAGGAACAGTTTCTTTAAAACTAAAGGAAGGTCTGGGCTGGAGAGATAGCACAGCGGGTAGGGCGTTTGCCTTGCACGCGGCCGACCCAGGTTCAATTCCCAGCATCCCATATGGTCCCCCGAGCACCGCCAGGAATAATTTCTGAGTGCAGAGCCAGTAGTAACCCCTGTGCATCGCCGGGTGTGACCCAAAAAGCAAAATAAATAAATAAATAAATAAAGGAAGGTAGGGGAGGGGCGGGGCAGGGGTGGGGAGTGCAGAGCGAAATACAGAGCTTGCCTTTCACGTGGCTAACCCAGGTTCGATACCCGGCATTCCACATGGTCCCCCAGGCACCACCACGAGTGATTCCTGAGTGCAGAGCCAGGAGGAACCCCTGAGCATCATCGGGTATGGTCCCAACAACCACAAAACAAAGTTGTGGGACCGGGGAGGTAACTCAGTGGTCTGTGGTGCAGGCTTCTAGAAGGAGTCTCCCTGAGCACCACCAGGCATAACCCCAAGCTAAAAATCAAATAATAAGACCCTCGGGAGTGAGTTTGTTTAGTTTTCTCAGATGGTAGGATACGGGCAAAGGGAACGTCATTTCTGTTGGCCATTATTGGGGAGTGGGGTTGGGCTCTGTGTTCCAGGGTCCTCTGGGGACTGCAGTTTGGGGGTCAAATCCAGGCCCCCTGCGTGCCAGCCCTTGGCTAGTCCAAAGGTAGTGACCAGTCTCAAGGCCAACCTAAGGGCTACAGATTACAGATCACAGATCATCCTGTTATTCGTCGATTGCCTCGAGCAGGCCCCAGTAACGTCTCCTTCGTCCTAGTCCCTGAGATTATATTCAAGGCTCTTTAGGAGAATGAGACCCATCATTGTTACTGGTATTTGGCATATTGGGTACGCCACGGGGAGTTTGCCAGACTCTGCCGTGTGGGCAGGCTACATTCAGTAGCCTGCCAGTTTGTCAAAGAAGGAATGAGATGTCATAATAAGATGTCGCACTACCTATAATGAAGGGAAATTGAATGCCTAAATTTGCTTAGATCTGCCTGCATGCCAGCCCTCCACCCTGCCTTGCCTGTAGCCGACCCCGGTTTCCTTCCCCTCACCCCGTATGGTTCCCCAAGCCGTACCAGGAGTGCGCCCTTGAGCACAGCGAGGAGTGGCCCAGAAACAGAACAAAACAAAAACAGGAAGGAAAGAAAAATGTTTAGCCACTCTTTACCCTTCATAAGCCTGGATGTCACTCATGTCATACTTACCTAATAAGAAGCTTTTCTCTTTTTGGGAGGGGGGTGACACCCGGCGATGCACAGGGGTTCCTCCTGGCTCTGCACTCAGGAGTTACTCCTGGCGGTGCTCAGGGGACCATATGGGATGCTGGGAATCGAACCTGGGTCGGCCGCGTGCAAGGCAAAGGCCCTACCCGCTGTGCTATCTCTCCACCTGCATAAGAAGCTTTTCAAGTAAATTTGGCTTTTCATATGTTTTTGAACAGACCATCTTAGGTGATTTCCAGAAGGAACAGAAAAAATTCCTGGAAGAACAGCATACCAAGAAGTCAGGTATGTACGGCCCAGAGTTGCTGCCTGGCGGACCGGGTGCAGGGTATTGCGCAGCCAGGGGCCGTGCTTAGGGCTGGAGAGACAAACTCCTAAACCTTCAGTGTTCAGAGGCAGTTCCTGGTGGCAGGGGGTTTGCGCGCAGTGCCTATGGCCCCCCTGGGGAGCCTAGCTCCAAGCAGGAGAGAGGCAGGTGCGTCCGAAGACGGGAGACACACAAGCAGGCTCGCTGCATTCTTTGCTTCTTTTGGGTCACACCTGGCGATGCACAGGGGCTACTCCTGGCTCTGTGCTCAGGAATTACCCCTGGCGGTGCTCAGGGGGACATATGGGATGCTGGGAATCAAACCTGGGTCAGCCGCGTGCAAGGCAAACGCCCTACAGGCTGTGCTATTGCTCCAGCCCCGGCTCGCTGCATTCTGGACTCATATTTCTCTTCCTTCTCTTTACTGAGTTCCTCACCCTTCCCCTCTCTGCTCTTCGTGCCTCCTCACCCTCTCGCCCTAAAGAAAAACCAACAAGGGACACGAAGCCTGTGCTAAGTCCTCTGACCTAGCTCCCAGCCTGCCGCTCCTCTCTTTGTGGGGTGGAGGGCCTGGAAGACATACCCAGCTGTGCTCAGCAGTCACCCCCGGCGGGCTCTGGTGGACCCAGTGGGGTGCCGGGGATCGAACACAGATTGACCGCATCCAAGGCAAGCGCCCTTTGGGCTGTACTGTTGCCCCTGCCCACCCTTCTCCTTCCGGTCCTTTAAACGTTTGCTCTTCCAGGATCACTTATACATTTTGCTGGTGCACATGCCCTAAACTGGCCTTAAGTCTTTGTTTGTTTGTTTGTTTTTTAAGTTTTATTAGTGAAACACCATGAGGTAGAGTTGTAGACGTACAAGTTTTTGTGCTTGGGTTTCAGTTATACAATGATCGAGTACCCATCCCTCCACCGGTGCCCATTCTCCACCACCAATGATCCCAGTAGCCCTCCCAGCCCCCCATCTCCCCCCGCCCCCCGTCCCACCCCGCCTATGTGGCAGGGCATTCCCTTTTGTTCTCTCTCTCCTTTTGGGTGCTATGGTTTGTGGCCTTAAGTCTTTGAATTGGGCGCAAGCAGAAAATAATTTCACTTGATCAAGGCCATACATTCAAAAAGAGCTGCCAGCCAAGTGCATCAGGCATTTCTGCGACTGGAAAGTGAAAAATGCGGAGCAGCTCTTGGGGACAAAGACGCTTGGCCGACCACAGCCCCTGGTGTTGCGTGGGCCACAGAAACATTGGAGGCCAGTTGAGGCACGGAGCTGTGAGCGCGGGACAGTGAAAGACTTGGCTTTCAGATCTGAGACGTTTGGGTGAGAGGAGGGGGTATGACACGCAGGGAAACACGAGGGCCAGCGAGAAAATCCAGCCAGGAAATGGCGAAAGCAACCAGCCAGCAAATGCAGAGCCCCTGGTCCAGAGAGAGAGAAGAGAGAGAGAGAGAGAGAGAGAGAGAGAGAGAGAGAGAGAGAGAGAGCAGACCGTGAGGGCAGCGAGGCCCCCAGCAACAGGGGTGAGGGGGCGGGACTGATTTGGTCCAAGGGTCCAGGTGCTGGCCACCATGTAATCTGAGTGATTTCAGTGATCTGACATGTGACTCGGTTCAGAGACTAAGGGACGGTGAGCGTATCTCATTAGAGCTTGTTGTTGGCACGCTGAAGATGTGCGTGTGGAAACGTTTTCCTTCCACGCGCAGACTCGGTGTGACCCTTGTATAACCCATCCTTCTCTCCTTCCTCTCTGCCACCGACCCCGCGTAGAAGTCGCGCTGCCCCCATGGGTCGACAGTCATGACGAAGAGACCATTCAGCAGCAGATCCTGGCCTTATCTGCGGTGAGTGCCTTGGGGTGACCCTGGCGGGGTTCCCTTCGACGGCCAGTGCGTGCTTGGTGTGGTTTGGGCTCTGAGGCCAACTCCAAGAATCGCACTCGCACCCTGAGCCATCTCCACAGCCTGGAATGGTTTGGGGCATTTTATTTTATTTTATTTTATTATATATATATATATATATATATATATATATATATATATATTTGCTCGAGCGGGCCCAGTAACGTCTCCATTGGAGACTTTGTTGTTACTGTGTCTGGCATATCGAATACTCTCGGTAGCTTGCCGGGCTCTCCGAGAGGGGCGGAGGAATCGAACTCGGGTCGGCCATGTTGGCCGCTTGTAAGGCGAACGCCCTACCCGCTGTGCTATCGCTCCAGCCCATATATATATATATATATATATATATATATATATATATATAATGAATCACCGTGAGATACAGTTGCAGAGTTACAAACTTTCATGCTTATGTTTCAGTCATACAACAGTGAGCACCCATCCCTAAACCAGTGCCCATTCTCCACCACCAATGTTCCCAGTATCCCTCCCGCCTCTCCCACCCCACCCCACCCCGCCTCTGTGGCAGGCACATTCCCTTTTACTCTCTCTGTCTCTCCTTTAGGGTGTTGTGGTTTGCAATACAGGTATTGAGTGGCCATCATGTTTGATCCATAGTCTACTTTCAGCACGCGTCTCCCATCCCGAGCGAACCCTCCAAGCATCATTCACTTAGTGGTCCCTTCTCTGTCCCAGCTGCCTTCCCCCCCAGCGTGTGAGGCCGGCTTCCAAGCTGTGAAGTGACCCTCCTGGCCTTTATCTGGGCCTTGAGTGTTAATCTCCAATTCTGTTACTTTATATTCCACAAATGAGTGCAGTCCTTCTATGTCTGTCCCTCTCTCTGTGACTCAGTTCACTTAGCATGATACGCTCCAGGTTGATCCACTTATATGCAGATTTCATGATTTCATCTATTCTGACAGCTGCATAGTATTTTTGGGGGCATTTTATTTATTTATTTATTTATTTTTGAAATTACGCCGTTTTTATTTGGAGGTTTTGAAGGGAAGGAGGGGGAGAACGTGAGAGAGAGTAGAGAGTAACCTACTCAAAAGGGAGCCCGAGCTTCTCCAAGGGCAGAGCGAGCCCCTACACACATCCCAGCATTAGACATGAAAACATGAAAGTCCACATCTCAAGAGGGAAGGTGTGGGCGACACATTTGCTCTGGCAGCATAGGTGCGCCACTGGGGGCATTTTCTTGATTTATTTATTTATTTTTATTAGTGAGACATCATGAGGTACAGTTGTAGACCCACAAATTCTTGTGCCTGGGTTTCAATTACACAATGATCAAATACCCATCCCTCCACCAGTGCCCATTTCCCACCACCATGGATCCCAGTATCCCTCCCACCCACCCCCCATCCCCTCATCCCCCCCTACCTTTGTGGCAGGACATTCCATTGGGGGCATTTTAAATACAGTTTTGTAAAATTCTCTGAGGCCTCCGGGACATGCATGGCCTAGACATCGTCTCTTTTCCGCATGCGCTTTGGACCACCCCAGTGAGAGGTGCTGGGGATCCCACTGCCACTCAGGGACTCGTGCAGTCCCGGGGATCGAATCCAGGCCTGGTGCATGCCAAGTCTGAGCCCATCTCTTTCCACGGGAGTGCTCCCATTCCGTGGCTGCCGTCCCGAGATAGCACGTTTGTGTCATGGGGTTCCCACGATCACCGTCCGCGGTATGGGACAGTGCCGAGGGCTCTGCCTGAACGCGGAAGGCAGGTGCCCATCACTGAGCCATACTCCCGGCCCCAGATTCTTTCCTTGCAAAGTGGGAGGCATAGCCTATCATTGAATGACTTAGTGGGGGCCGGGGGTGGTGTTTCTTCTTTTCTGGGTCACACCGGTTCTTCTTGAGGGTTCCTCCTGGCTCTACACTCAGGAAAGACTCCTGGCGGTGCTCGGGGGACCATCTGGGGCGTCGGGGATCAAACCTGGGTCGGCCGTGTGCAAAGCAAACACCCTGCCCACTGAACTATTCGCTCCAACCCCCAAGGAAGACATTTTTTGAAAAATTTTTATTAGTGAAACATCATGAGGTACAGTTGTAGACTTACAAATGTTCGTGTTTGGGTTTCAGTTATACAATGATCGAGTACCCATCCCTCCACCAGTGCCCATTCTCCACCCACAGTGATCCCAGTATCCCTCCCACCCCCCATTCCCCCCTCCCACCTTGCCTCTATGGCAGGGCATTCCCTTTTGTTCTCTCTCTCCTACTGGGTGTTGTGGTTTGCAAAAGAGGCCTTGAGTGGCAATCATGTTCGGTCTATAGTCTACTTTCAGTATGCATCTCCCATCCTGGGCGGATCCTCCCAATACCCTTTACTTGGTGTTCCGTTCTCTATCTGAGCTGCCTTTTCCCCCAGCAGGTGCGGCTGACCTCCAAGCCATGGAATGTACCTCCTGGTACTTATCTCAACTATTCTTGGGTGTTAGTTTCCTATTTTGTTACTTTATGTTCCCCAGATGAATGCAATCTTTCTATGTCTGTCCCTCTCTTTCTGACTCATTTCACTGAGCATGATACTTAAGGAAGACATTTTTCAAGGGCCTCTTGTGTGAGGTCATTGTTTGAAACATGCCGTAGCCATCCCGTTCCAACGCAAGGGATCGGCTTCTAAATGTTCTCGACCTGCCCCGTGTCCCCACGCTGGACAAAGGGACCAAGGGTGCTCTCAGACTACTTCAGGGCAGACAAAGAATGCCAGGGAAAGGCACAGTGCCCGGCTGTCTCGTGATGCACTTCCTCACGTCGGGTATCCCCCGAGCCTCGCTGCGTTCTGGGATGCAGTACAGGCTCTCCTCACCTCTGCCGCTGTGGACAGACGCTTCAGAGCGTCACCTCCTTCTTACCTGTGACTCCCCTGGGCTTGCCTTCAGCAGCTGGATGCTGGCTTTGATCGCTGCCCTCAGCACTCAGCCTCTGGCCCCACAGAGCGGCCCCCAGCACCTCCAGGACTGATTCCTGCACAGCCAGGAGTGGCTCCTGAGCAGGGCTGCTGTGACCTGCTGCCCTCCCCCCTCCAGAAAAAGATTTCAGACCCAAAGCTATAGTACGCCAGGAAGGGCATTTGCTTTGCACATGGCCACCCTGAGTTCAATTCCCGGCACCCCATGTGGTTCCCCCGAGCCCACCAGGAGTGATCCCTGAGCACAGAGCCAAGAGTAAGACCTGAGCACTCTTAGGTGTGGGGCGTCCCCCCCCGAAAACTAAAAAATAATATTTCAGTATTTTTCCCATCGATGATGCTGATATTATACTAATTGCGTTCTGTATTTTTCTCAAAGGACAAGAGGAATTTTCTTCGTGACCCTCCGGCTGGCGTGCAGTTTACCTTTGACTTCGACCAGATGTACCCAGTCGCCCTGATCATGCTGCAGGAGGATGAGCTGCTGAGCAAGATGAGATTTGCACTCGTGCCCAAACTGTAAGCAGCGGCCTTTGCGGGTTCCTGGGGGCCTTGCTCAGGGCACCGCAGCAGGGACGCTCCTGGAAGGGGCCACAGCAGTCTGTGAGCATAAAAACAGGCTCCAAGCCTCGGCCCTGCCACCTCTCCCTGTGCAGGAATAAATGCACGCACACACCCTGCACGCGCACGCCCGCGTACACACACTTAGACACTCATACGTGCACACACGCGCGCATATGCACACTTATATACACGTATACACGCATGCATACACACTTATACACTCACACATACACGCACGTACTCGCATATACGCACACTTATACACTCACACATACACATGCATGCACGCACGCATACCTACACACATACACTTATACACTCACACATGTACGCGCATACTCACATATACGCACACACGCATACACACATGTATACACTCATACATGCATGCCCACATACACACAAACTCATACATGCACCACGCATACACACACTTATATACACACACCCACGCACGCACACATATGCACACTTATACACTCACACATACACGCACATACTCACATATACACACACTTATACACCCACACATCCGCACGCATGCACACGTACACTTATACACTCACACATGCGCGCACATACTCACGTAGACGCACACACGTATACACACATGTATACACTCATACATGCATGCATACATATGCACACATAAACTCACACATACATGCACCACGCATACACACACTTACACCCACGCACACACACATACACACACATACACTCATGCGTACGCACACACAAAGTGCACGTATGCACACTTATACACTCACATACATACATACATGCACACATACACACACTTATACACTCACACGCACGCATACACACACTTATACACTCACGCACGCATACACACATTTATACACGCACGTGCACGCACAGGGCACCAGGGATGAGAGTGAACTTCCCTGGAATTTGGGGTGATGAGCCGCTTGATCCCACCTTCCTGGGGAAAAAGCGTCGGGCCCCGCCTTCTCCCACGGGCCCAAGGCCCTGCGGGACCTCGTGCTTGCACATAAGCGGGTCTTCCTGTCCCCTGTGCCGCCACCTCGGGGCCCTTGTCGGAGCCTGTCCCTTGTTCCGGGCATCCCTTTCTCACTCTCGGAATCTGCGTGTGGGCTTGGGCTTGCGCAGCCTCCGAGGGTAGAGAACTGTGTGTTCCCACACCCAGGACACTGCTGGCCCAGGCCCAGGAGCAGGAAGTGCCTGGCTATGGCGGCTGTCCCCGAGTGCACCACAGTCCCTCTTCCCCAGGTGCAGCTCAGGTGTCCCAACTCCTTTGGGGAGCTGGAGGCTCCTGAGTTTTGAATGCATTTGGGGGCCACGCCCGGGGTTGCGTGGGGCTTACTCCCGGCTCTGCACTCAGGAATCATTCCTCGTTGGCTCGCGAGAGCACGTGTGGTGCTGGGGGGTCGAACCCAGGTCAGCCACATGCACGGCAAACACCCTCCCTGCTGGACCATCAGCCCAAACCCACCAGCTGCCCTTTAGGACCCAGAGCCTGTGCCCGGCCCTCAGAGACGCCTGGGGCCACCCGTGCCTGGCACTCGGCGCTGCCACCCCCTAGATGGGCCTGTTTTCCCAGGAGGCCGACGCGACCACATGTCCATTTGGCTGTGAGCACTGTGAGCACTCTTCGCTCACTAGGAAGCAGCGAATCACTAGTGGGGTTCCACACCCCGTACCCCTCAAAAAGTTGCCTTTTGCTGCCAAGGAGAAGCTAGTCTTCCTTCTGAGCCACGCCTTCAGCTTTCTGATTCAGAAGCAAACGAGAACGAGGGCTGGAGCAATAGTCCAGCAGGGAGGGTGTTTGCCTTGCATGCAGCCGACCCCGGTTTGATCCCAGGCATCCCATATGGTCCCCCAAGCACCGCCAGGAGTGATTCCTGAGTGCAGAACCAGGAGGAACCCCTGAGCATTGCTGAGGGTGACCCAAAAGGCAAAAAAAAAAACCCACATGAGAATCTCCTTTGAGTTCAAAGTGCCCCTAAAATCCGCCTCTTTCAGTCTCCCTGGGTTGGAGCAATAGCACAGTGGGTAGGGCATTTGCCTTGCATGCAGCCAACCAAGCTGATCCGGGTTCGATTCCTCCGCCCCTCTCGGAGAGCCCGGCAAGCTACTGAGAATATCCCGCCCACACAGCAAAGCCTGGCAAGCTCCCAGTGGCGTATTCGATATGTCAAACACAGTAACAACAAGTCTCACAATGGAGACATTACTGGGCCTGCTCTAGCAAATCGATGAACAACGGGAGGACAGTGACAGTGTGATGGTCTCCCGGCAACGGATAAAGCCCATTCTCGCGTGTATCGTTTGTTCCCGCCAGAGTGAAGGAAGAAGTCTTCTGGAGGAACTACTTTTACCGCGTCTCCCTGATTAAGCAGTCGGCCCAGCTCACGGCCCTGGCCGCCCAGCAGCAGGCCGCCAAGCAGGACGGGAAGGCCCAACGCGGAGAAGACGCGGCACCGCTCACAGGTACCAGCGCGACTCGCTCTGCAGAACGAGCTGCGCTTCGCCGCTCTTACGCCTGGCCGGCCCGCGAGTGCAGGAACAGAGCGTGGAAAATTCCTTCCTTCCCAGAGGAAGTGGCCCCTGCACGGGCCTCTCCCCAATACCTCCCTGCCCAGCCCTCTCCCCAGTGGTGCTCAGAGCTCTACCCTTAGCTCCCCTTGCCTCTGTCTGTGTCTCCGTCCTGTCCCTATCATTCTCTCCCCTCTCACCTCCCCCCTGCATCTCCAACCATCTTCCCCTTTCTGTGCCCTCCACCGTGGGACTTTATATCCTTGTCTTCCACTCACTGCGTCTACCCTGTTTCTTTTTAGCTCGGGCTCTCTGTCTCTCTGTCTCTCTGTCTCTCTCTCTCTGTCTCTCTCTCTCTCTCTCTCTCTCTCTCTCCTTCTTTCTCTCTTTGTTTATTTCAGTTTTAGGACCACCCCAGCAGTGCTCAGGGCTTACTTGTGGCTCAACGCTCAGAAATCACTCTAGCCTGGCTCACGGAACCATATGGGATGCCGGGGATCGACCCGGGTTCAATCCCCAGCAACCTGTACAAATTGTCCCCTGAACCCCACCAGGAGTGATCCCTAAGTGTAGAGCCAGAAAGAACCCCTGAGCATCGCCAGGTGTGACCCAAAACCTTACAGAAAAAAATCCCCTAGGGGCTGGAGCAATAGCACAGCAGGTAGGGCGTTTGCCTTGCACGCAGCCGACCCGAGTTCGATTCCCAGCATCCCATATGGTCCCCTGAGCACCGCCAGGAGTAATTCCTGAGTGCAGAGCCAGGAGTGACCCCAGTGCATTGCCAGGTGTGACCCAAAAAGCAAAAAAAAAAAAATAAGAAAGAAAAAAATTCCCCTAAAGATAGGTTCACATGGCTATATTTTTTTATATATAACTTAAAAACAGAAAGAAGAATGTAAGAGCTCACTTATGAAAATTAGTGAGTATCAGTGGAGTTCATGCTCAGTCAGCTAATCAGTGGCTGAATAAATAACAGTATTCCTACATTAAAAAAAAGAAAGAAAATTAGTGAGTATCATACTACGGGTATTTTAGTTGTTCTTGTAAGTTGTGTGTATCAGAATTGAACCCAGCAGTGATTGTCTCTTTTATTCTCGCTTCTCAGAGGCAGTACGGCCCAAAACACCGCCCGTTGTTATCAAATCTCAGCTCAAAACACAAGAGGTAATACGCTTTCACTGGCGCATAGTTGTGAAGGTCTGGGAATGAAGTCACCCGGTGTTAGATGCCGCTTGAAACCGCCTGTGAGGGGCCAGAGCAATAGCACAGCAGGGAGGGCGTTTGCCTTCCATGCGGCCGACCCGGGTTCAATTCCCAGCAATCCTATGTGGTCCCCTGAGCACCGCCAGGAGTCATTCCTGAGTGCAGAGCCAGGAATAACCCCTGTGCATCGCTGGATGTGACCCAGAAAGAAAAAGAAAAAAAAAACTGCTTATGAATACAGGTCGCATCTGTCCTCAGGAAGAGGGGCAGTTAGGGACCATTGTTGAGCTCTCATCAGGGCATTGGACAGAATGTTGGGGTGATCCCAAGCGAGCGAGCACAGCACATGTTGGGCTCTCTCATCTAGTTACAAGCCCCAGAGCAGCTGAGAAGGTCCGCGGTCAGTGGGGGTCCATGCCCGGAGAAGGGGCCCGGTACAGTTCCTCAAGGGCGATTTGATTTTGTATGTCTGTCCCCTGCCTTACGACCTTGGGACATGACTTTCTCTAGGCAGATCGCCGAGCAGCTAGCTTTGGGGGCCTTTATTGCTCCTCGATTGAAGGGTCAGCCTGAAAAGGGCCCTGGGGGGGGCTGGAGAAATAGCACAGCGGGTAGGGCGTTTGCCTTGCACGCGACCAACCCAGGTTCGATTCCCAGCATCCCATGTGGTCCCCTGAGCACCACCAGGGGTAATTCTTGACTGCAGAGCCAGGAGTAACCCCTGTGCGTCGCCAGGTGTGACCCAAAAAGCAAAAAAAAAAAGGAAAGAAAAGAAAAGGGCCCTGGGAGCTTCCATCCCACACCGGAGCCCTGGCGGGTGGGCACCCGGTTCACTGGGTCGCCTGTCTGTGTCCCCGTGTTGCCTTCCAGGATGAAGAGGAGATTTCCACCAGCCCTGGCGTGGCCGAGTTTGTCAGCGATGCCTTCGACGCATGCAGCTTCGATCAGGAGGACCTGAAGAAGGAGATGGAGCAGCTGGTGCTAGACAAGAAGGAGGCCGAGACAGCGGCCCTGGAAGGTATTAGCGAGAAGCCCCTTCCGGGCCGAACACTTGGCTCTGCTGCACGTTTCCAAAGCGTTCTAGAACTTTGGCATCCAACTTGCTTCGGGGTGGGGAGGGGCGATGATTATGCCAGGTTTAAGGTGCGCCCAACTGGCTCTGGTGCAGTGCCCAGCACAGCAGCATGACCGGGTGATCCCGGGACCCCTGTCCCAAGCCGCGCACACCCTCGGTCTAGCATCTTCTGCCACCTGCCGAGTTAGCCACGGGGCAGAGGGCTTGAGTTCTGCTTGGGAGAGGATCTCCCCTCTTCCAAACAATATTTGCTGCTTGGGGTTCCAGACGATCCAGGGGTTAAACTGCATGCAGCCAGTTAATCCCCTGAGCCCCGCCAGGAGTGACCCCTTGAACACCCACCCAGCAAGGAATAAGTCAGCTGTGTCTCCAGAGCAGCACCACAGAGCGCCTTCTAGTGGCAGAGCACGTGTACTGCCTGTGTGCAGTTCTGCCAAGCAGCCCCTTCTCTGTTCCCTCACTGAAAGGTGGGGGTTGGCAGAGGTGACCAGGCCCCGCGCCCCCATGTGTAAGGCCTGCACAGGAATGAGAGGAGAAACGGGCCAAAGAGGCAAAGGAATTTGGCCGAGTCATCCCAGCCCAAGGATGGCCGCGAAGCTCGGGCCGGTAGAAGCTGCCATCCTGCTAGGGTTTATCTGGGGGTGTGTGTGTGTGTGTGTGTGTCTCGGGCCAGTAGAAGCTACTATCCTGCTAGGGTTTATCTGGTGTGTGTGTGTGTGTGTGTGTGTATCTGGGATGTGTGTGTGTCTCGGGCCAAGAGCTACCATCCTGCTAGGGTTTATCTGGGGGGTGTGTGTGTCGGGTGTGTCTGTGTGTGTGTGGCTCGGGCCAAGAGCTGCCATCCTGCTAGGGTTTATCTAGGTGTGTGTGTGTGTGTGTGTGTGGTGTGTCTGGGTGTGTGTCTTGGGCCAGTAGAAGCTACTATCCTGCTAGGGTTTATCTGGTGTGTGTGTGTGTGTGTGTGTGTGTATATCTGGGATGTGTGGGTGTCTCGGGCCAAGAGCTGCCATCCTGCTTGGGTTTATCTGGTGTGTGTGTGTGTGTGTGTGTGTATCTGGGATGTGTGGGTGTCTCGGGCCAAGAGCTGCCATCCTGCTAGGGTTTATCTGGGGTGTGTGTGTGTGTGTTGGTGTGTCTTCGTGTGTGTGGCTCGGGCCAAGAGAAGCTGCCAACTAGGGTTTATCTGGTGTGTGTGTGTGTGTGTGTGTGTGTGTATCTGGGGTGTGTATCTGGGATGTGTGTGTGCCAGGAGTAACCCCTATGCATGGCTGGATGTGACCCAAAAAGCAAAAAAAAAAAAAATTCCTGAGACTAGGACTTGCATTTTTTCTTTCACACATCAGGCTTGTGAAAAGCTGCACCAAGAATTCAGGGATAATCTTTGTATCTTTGATTTCTTTCAGAAGATTCCGCAGACTGGGAAAAGGAACTCCAGCAGGAACTTCAAGAATACGAAGTAGTCGCAGAATCAGGAAAAAAAGATGAAAACTGGGATAAAGAAATCGAGGAAATGCTTCAGGAGGAAGATTAACTCTTTCCTGAGTCAAAAGCATAATCCAATAACATTCTGTAACTGACATCTGGACATTCATTAAATCAAAAGGCACATGTGTAATTCCAAATTATTCTTTTTCCAAGCTAAAGCTTGACTCTTATATGTAAAATATATATATATATGTATAATGAATACAGTTATTCTAATCAAAGGGATGCTTTATATAATATTTCTTTAATATTTATCTGGCTAGAGGTGCTCTTATAGTTGGAATAAGCATCTTTTTGGGAGGGGGGCAGGTCAGAAGTTTGGGCCACAACCAGCTGTTCTCAGGGCTCACTCCTGGCTCTGTGCTAAGGAATCACTCCTGGCGGTTCTCAGGGGACCATATGCAATGCCAGGGATCAGACCTGGGCCAGCTGCATGCAGGGTCAGCACTGTGCCTGTGTACTCTCTATCTGGCCCTGGAATGGATATCTTTGCCACAGAAACACAAGTAAAGTTTTAGAGTTCTTTTTCTGTGAGGTGACAAGTAGAATTTATTCTTCCCTGGTGGATTTCTAACCATTCTGAGTGCATTTTTATTGACGCACATACCTTAAAAGTACTGAATGAATTGCTTTCAAGTTGACCAAATTGTACCAAAGAACTTAAGAGAAAGCACTTTTCAGAACTATTTTCTTGCTAGGTGTTTTCTAAAATTCCAGCTGATAGATGAGATAAACTAATTATCCTGATCTTGATGTAAACCTAGCACAATTTGACAGAATTGCTGCGCAGATGATTTTTTTTCCCCCTCTGGGGACTCTTCTTTCTTGTTTTTGAACTAACGTTTAATAATGTTACCCCTAACGTTTGCAGCAGGATTTTGTACAAAGCAGGGCCTTTTATCCTTTAAGCAATAATGGCCTTAGAAGCCCACTCACAGTCTTCTTCCAGTTGTTTAAATCGCCAGCACATATGAATGTTCTAGCTTCCGTCTGTCTTAAATCATGCATCTGTATATAAGAAATACAGTTGAGGGAACTTAAATGACCCAACCCTATTTGTATTCTGTGACTCCAGTAGCCCTGAGTTCATAGAATATGGTTCTTTTTTTAAAGTGCTTTGGCCCAGTGGTAGAATATAAGGCTTTGGGTTCCGTGTCTAGCACAAAAAAAAGTGATTTAATGTCTGAGTATTCCTAAGACATTTGCTTCTCAAACCTTTTACAGTTTTCAAGGATCCCTTCTTTCTGTTCTTGGCCACATAAAAAGTATTCTATGATCCTTTGACAGAGATACGGTGAAAAAGAGAATCAGAGGTTTGGATCGAAGCAAACTTGAGTTCGTGGTTTGGGCCCGCGCTGGGCTATAATGTATTTTGTGAAACCACGCACCCAGTTAGCAGAGATTTCCATGTGTGGCACCAATGTTTGCGGATTACTGAATTCAGATCCAGAAATGCCAACTGGCAACTGAAATAATCCCATCAAAGGGAGAAGTTTTTTGTTGTTTTGTTGTTTTGAATAGAATTTGCTGGGGGGGGGGGGCTGGGATGGAATTATGTCAAATGTTTCTTAAGTAGACGAAAATGCTAGATGTAAGCAGACCAGGTTATGACTGCTTGCTCTCAGTCTTACACTAAAACTTAATGATGACCGTTGAATAAATAAGAAGGAGTTCAAAGAAAGTTGAAAAACTGTCAGTTTTACAGGATGGTCTTACTGTGTTTAAAAGAATCTAATTGTGCACTGCCCCATGAAAATCAAAAGGGTAAAATAAGATTTTATACACAGCATAAAAAAGACTTATGCTATATTTGTATGGATCCATCAAGAAGTAAAATGTCTGATTTTGTAAGCTATGCTGGTAACTGGTGTTATTTTTTTATGTTTTTATTTTACTTATTTGGAGGGACTTAGGGGGATTTGGGGACCAAACCTATTGGTGCTCAGGGGTCACTCCTGGCGGTGGCAGGGATCGAACTGGGGTCAGCCTCCTACGAGGCAGCAGCCTTAAGCCCTCTATTAACTCTCCACCCATGAACTGTTCTGTTTGTTTGTTTTTTAACTAGAAAGGTTCATTGGAAAGCAGAGGAGAAAAGAAGAGAAACTCCCCAGCTGGGAAGGTACTGAGTATGGAACCAAGTTCTGAAAGTTTGATGCCTGTCACCTCATATGGTCCCCTGACCCCCACCAGGAATGACCCCTGAGCACAGAGCCAGGAGTAGTCCACCCCTGCCACCATAAAAAAGCAAGTAAAAACAAATCAGGACTTACTAATGGCTCTATCCTAATTGTTCTTGCTGTATATGGTTGCTCTATCTGGCAATAGACTTTCCCCTTTGTTTTGTTTTGTTTTGGGGCCACATGGTGGTGGTCAGAGCTTACTCCTGGGTCTGCCCTCGGGTATGCTAGACCATCTCTTTGGCCCCAGTTCCCCTCACACACCCTGTTTTTTCTATTTTTTGCTTTTGGGGTCATACTCGGCGTTGCACAGGGGTCACTCTTGGCTCTGCAGTCAGGAATTACTCCTGGCGGTGCTCAGGGAACCATATGGGATGCTGGGAATCGAACTCAGGTTGGCCACATGCAAGGCAAATCCTCTACCCACCGTGCTATTGCTCCAGCCCCCACACCCCATTTTTTAATTGAGATAATACATTTGAGTACACATGCAATCATAAAATGGAAGTAGTATAATCTGAAAAAAGCAAAATACAAAAAATCAGTAAAAGAACCTATTGCCTATGTATTTATCTTCTATATATTTTTTAATTTTTTATAATTGTATTTATTGAATCACTGAGAGCAGTTACAAAGCTTTCGGGTCTAAGTCCCGGTCATACAATGAAACACCCATAACTTCACCAGTGCCCATTCTCCACCCCCAAAAACCCCAGTATACCCCCATCCCACACCCTCCCCCTACCTGTGGGGCAGATGATTTCCACATTACTCTCTCTATTTTGATTACATTCAATATTTTGACACCAGACCCACCATTATTATTTGGGATTTTACCCCAACGAATAGCACAGCGGTAGGGTGTTTGCCTTACAAGCGGCCAACATGGCCGACCCGAGTTTGATTCCTCCGCCCCTCTCGGAGAGCCCGGCAAGCTACTGAGAGTATTCGATATGCCAAACACAGTAACAACAAAGTCTCCAATGGAGACGTTACTGGGCCCGCTCGAGCAAATCGACGATCAACGGGAGGGCCTTTACCTTTACCTTAGCCCAATGCTCAGAGACTATAAAAACCAGCTCCCGGAAGAGAACAGTGCAGTCTCCTGCCCCCGCGCCTGACTGTCCTCGCCGCAAGGGCCCCTTGGAGGGGAGCGGGTTGAGCTTTCCTTCCCGCCCCGACCAGGGCTCCGGCAGCCAACGACCTCCAGGACCAGCCACCACCATGCTGAGACCACTCTCCGCACACATGAAGGTACTGGCAGAGGGACAAAGTCACGCGGGTTCCGGGGCCGAGATCTCCAAGCCTACTCAGATTTGGGCCGAGCATCCTCCACCCAGATCCTCCAAATTCCAGTAGGCGGGGGTCACACCCACCAACTGGCCCCCTGGCGCCATGTAATCCCATCAACGACCAAGACTCAGAGACTATAAAAACCAGCTTCCGGAACCGCGCGGCCGCATTTGCGGCCGCACAACATCCTATTATAACATCTTATTATCTCATTCCTACTTTGGACAAACTGGCAGGCTACCAAATGTAGCCTGCCCACACGGCAGAGTCTGGCAAACTCCCTGTGTTGTACCCAATATGCCAAACAAACCAGTAACAATGATGGGTCTCATTCTCCTAAAGAGCCTTGAATATAATCTCAAGGCTAGGATGAAGGAGACGTTACTGGGGCCTGCTCGAGGCAATCGACGATCGACCCCAATGCTCAGATCTGCTGAAAAGGCAACAGTAGACAACTTGTTTTCTATTGCTGGTTATGAATAACACATGATGTCGCATGGCTGCAGTAGTAGCCGTGCGATTTTGAAATTTCGAAATTTTAACAATTAAATCTGGAGGGATTTCTGCCCAAACTTGCTGGGTTCTGAAATTTGTGCCTGAGTCTCTTGGATCATGGCCATTAAGCAGCTTGATCGAGAGCCAGAAAGTTCGTTAATGGGCGGCGACTCAGGGTCTTGTTGGGACAGGGAGGAAAGGGCCAGCTCCACCCCCATCCCGTGAGGCCCCACGTGTCTCATCACTGAGGGCCCAATCCTGACTGTCCAATGGCCTCTGGAGGATGGCGGCCACCGAGCCTCCTAGGGGGAGCAGGTGGAGGGACAGCACCCTTTCCCACCTGGAATGGCCCGTCGACAGTAACCTACTGCAGGGTCCAGACACATTTCTGCCAAAAACCACTGGGTTCCGAGTTTGTTTCTGAGTCTCTGGGACCATGGCCATTAAGCAGCTTGATCAGGAGCCAGAGAGGCCGTTCGTGGGCGGCAACTCAGGGTCTCATTGGAGTGAGGAAGAAAGGGCCGGCTCCACCCCCATGCCGTGAGGCCCTGCGTGTCTCGTCACTGCGGGCCCAAACCTGACTGTCCAGTGGCCTCTGGCGGATGGCAGCCACTGAGTAACCAATGGGGAGCAGGTGGAGGGCAGCACTCTTTCCCCCTGGATACACCCCATTTTTTAGTAAAGAGAAACTTCACATGAAATTACATATGTGGTTAAATATCCCTCACACATCTTCAAATTGTTTATCAGGTTTTTATATAATGTCATTTATTTAGATTAAGTTATTTATGACTTTGGGTGTTAAACAAACTGATTTTTAATGCTTTTTGATCATTGCATCCTGATTTATTTCCAGTATGCAAAACTCTATTATACATATAAACCTCACTCAGTGTTAAAAGTTTTCCCTGAATAGCGAAAAAAAAATATTTTTTCTTTTTTGGGTCACACCTGGCGATGCACAGGGGTTACTCCTGGCTCTGCACTCAGGAGTTACTCCTGACAGTGCTCAGGGGACCATATGGGATGCTGGGGATCGAACCTGTGTCGGCCGCATGCAAGGCAAATGCCCTACCCGCTATGCTATCTTTCCAGCCCAAGCGAAAAGTTTTGATCTGATAAAGGGGAACTTCTCGACATTTCAAAGATCCCAGGTATGTGGGCTTCAATAACTGTTCAATTAAGTGTCAGGAGCATTGTTCTGGTTTGCTGCCAGGGCCTCATCTAAGGCGTGTGTTCTACCACAAAGCCACACCCCCG